TTGTTTGTTTGTTGTTACAGGTTCATGAATTAATCTAGATCTTCTTCCCTCAAATAGTATTGCTTTTGCCTTTTCCATATTTATTACAAGATTATTTGTCAAGAACCAATTTTCCAATTGTTTCATAACTTTTACTATTTTCCCTCTTAAAGATGTGAGATTTTTCTCAGTGAGTAATATATTTGTGTCATCCGCAAATAACACCACCTTAGCTTTCAGGACAGCGTGAGGCAAATAATTTGTAAACAACAAGAACAAAATGGGTCCCAAAACAGAACCCTGAGATATGCCATATTTTATTGCTTTACATTACTAATTATACGTCTTTGTATTTGAGGTCTTTTCATCTACTTGCTGTATTTCCGCAAATTTAGTTCTCCCAGTAAGATGAAAACTCATCCACGAGTATATTTTTCTTCTAAATCCATGCATCCTCAATTTAGCAAGCAGTAGTTTATGGTTTATTATGTCAAAGGCATTAGTTAAATCTAAAAATATGTCCATAACTAATAGCTTATCATCTAATGCTTTCTGGGTATCTTCAATAAAGGTTTGTGGTGCTGTATTGATAGATTTCTTCTCTCTGAAGCCACTTGGAGCCTCAGATATGCTGTGTTTGTTTAGGAAGGTTCACTACTCTTTTATATATATTAATATTTCAAGAATTTTCAAAAGAAAAATTTAAGTTAATCCATAATGGGAAATTTCTTCTTTCCCTCCTTTGTATGAATAGGCTGAACTGTTTTAATCTTCATCAAATTTGGGAACGTTCCCGAACATAAAGAAATGTTAAATATAAAGTTCAGTTGTTTTTTAATAAACTGAATACTTTTTTGTACTAGCTTTTCCGGTATTTCATCATAGCCCCCTAATAATTTACCTTTTGGTTTACTGGTTACATTTAATACCTCATCTTCAGTGACTGGTGCCAAAAAACATGGAATTCGAATTTAATATTTTATTACTAACAATATCATGACCAAATTTACAATCCTTATTTTGATTTAACATCCTGTCCACATTCTCTACAAAAAGCATTAAATTGATGAGATATGCTGTGGATTTGTAACTATCATGGAGCCTATTTTGAAAGAAATGTTTCAAATTTGTTGTTTGATAATTCCCTGATTCATTTCTTATTATTTGCCATAATGCCGTGATATGGTTTATTGACCTTGAAATAATTCTGTCATTTTCTCTTCTCTGCTTCCGATATCTCTTTCTTATAAGTAATTTGATATTTCTTTATATAGTTCAATGTTGTACTGGACAAAGACATCTCTTTCTTTAACAAATATAACGCTCACACCCTCTGCCCAAATACTTTTATCCCTCTCATTAACCATCTTGATGGGTTACCTTTTTTTTGTCAATTTTTGGGAGGGGAGGGGGGAAATATTTACAAAATACTTGAGATCCTTAGTTAAGAAGAAACTGCTCTGTTTACATCTACTATACTAAATAGATAATCATGCACGTAGATGTGCTTAACTAACTAAGCACTACATCATGAAGACGTATGGGAGAGTAGTTGAATAGTGTACTCACATAATTTATTTCTGTACAGCTATGTACATACAAACATAGAACTGTACCACATACAGAGTTCACAGTCAGGCATATTATTACGGTGTGTTATTCATTTTTAGCAAATAGATTTATTAAATTGTTATTGCTTGGAGATAAACATATGATTTTGAAAGGGGAGCTTCTGTAGTTTTTATCCCAGCATTGTAGTCTACCTGTGATAGACTGAGATTAGCAATATATTTGTCTGCAAGTAGTTATCTGCAAGAAATCAAAACCTTTTTAAAACAGGAGAATGTTCAGGTCCTTTGGAACTCCATTATTATCATGTTTTGCTGCATATGGGTGCATGTGTAGGGTTGTGCAGAAGATGCTATGAAATGTTCCTGATTTTTAGGATAATTGCAGTGAACTTTATAGCTGAAACATAAACATTTCGAGCTAACACTGTTGTAGTTGAAGATTATTTATTGTCTTCTGGGATGTGATACAGTGTAGTTGCATAGAACTTTCCTAACTCACTCACTCATGGAGCTGAGCCCTTCTTGAGAAGCTGCCAATTGTGCAGCTACTCAAGAAATTCCCAACATTTTATGGAATCCAAAGGTTCATTATCATGTTCACAAGAGCCCTCCACTGGTCCCTATCCTGAGCCAGACCAGTCCAATCCATACTATCCCATCCTGTCTCTCCAAGATCCATTTTAATATTGTCCACCCCCCTACGCTTGGTCTTCCCAGTGGTCTGCTTCCTTCTGGCTTTCCCACCAATAGCCTATATGCATTCCTCATCTCCACCATGCTACATGCCCTGCCCATCTCATCCTCCTTAACTTGATCATTCTAATTATACTTGGAGAAGACCACAAGTTATGAAGCTCCTCATTGAGCAGTTTCCTCCATCCTCTTGTCACTTCATCTCTCTTCAGTCCAAATATTCTCCTCAACACCCTGTTCGCAAACACCCTCAGTTGAACATTTTGGATAAACCTGCTGTCTCTATCTTCAGGGTAAATAGTAAGCCATGATGCAAGACAAGGATTGGGGGTAAGAGTAAACCAGTGGGAATAGTATAAAGTGAAATCCTGTTATCCTTATAATGGCCAAACTCATAGATATGAAGAGGCCAAGGATGCACAATGGCAGTAGTGTAAACTGAATGGGAACATGAGTCAGGCTTGTGGATAGGAAGAGTAGGGAGAGAGATAAAAGATGAGATATAAGGAATAAAGAAAATAAAAATACTGTAAATAAAATAAAAAATGGCCAAACTCATAGATATGAAGAGGCCAAGGATGCACAATGGCAGTAGTGTAAACTGAATGGGAACATGAGTCAGGCTTGTGGATAGGAAGAGTAGGGAGAGAGATAAAAGATGAGATATAAGGAATAAAGAAAATAAAAATACTGTAAATAAAATAAAATGGAATTAAAAGAAGGGTGTCACAATCAATCAAATGGGAGAGTGGAAAGGAAATACAAGAACAAAATAAGGTTAAAATTAAAGGAGATAAAAATAAGTGTGAGGAAAGTATAATACAGTAAGGAAAACATTATATTGCATAAGTAAAATTGAAGATAAGAGTCATAATGGAAAAAAAAAAGTTGAGAAAAACAGAGCAGGTGGAAAGGAAAGAAAAGGAATTAAAGCACTGACAAAGGCCATTGACTGAGACTATGAAAAGGACAGTTTCCGGAAGTCCCCAGTAACAACCAAGCTATAGAGTCCAGAAGTCACATTATATCCTCAGGTGTCCTGCATTCCATCAAGGAGCAGAAAAGAGGCCTATATGACTTGCTTAGGGAAAGGCTATCTTCCTTGTTCATGTTGTTATGATGAGGCTTAATCTCTATCACCTACCTAATGACTGGCTGTACATCAGTGCTTCTCAGTTTAATGAAAAGAATGCTGATGTTTTGGAGTTAATGCTGGGTTTTGCCACTGCTGGCATCTGGATATGCCCATGGTGCTCTTTCACCCTTGTCTCATTGGAACAGTCAAGTCTGTCCAATGTAGACATGACCACACTTCCAGGACACCAAGATGACAACACAGTCAGCACCTTTGATGTAATTGTACACCAAACTGTGTGGTTTCATATCTCAGAGACAGTAATCTTAATAATTACTGTCATGAGAACCTCGGATCTCACACTTCCATAGTTTTTCACTCCTACCACCAAGGGCGGGGTTGCATACTATTTTGTCCAAGAAGTATCTGATCTTGGGCTAGGAAAACAAAGTTCTGTATCTGGGTGGTTACAATACCTAGTCCTCTTCAGAGTAGGCCCCTTGTGACTCACACACTTAGCCCAGCGGCCCTTTCATCGCTGGAAGCAATTCTGGAAGGCTTCTTTTGGAATGGTGTGCAGCTGTGCCATTGCATTCTGTATGATGTCCTCGCGGCTGTCAAAACGAGAGCCTTTTAGTGGTGTCTTCAATCTCGGGAACAGCCAGAAATCACAAGGAACCATGTCAGGAGAGTCGGGAGCCTGGCGAACCTGCAGAATGCCGTGCTTGGCCAGGAAACCCTGGATCAGGTGTAATGAATGAGCTAAGTCGTTGTCATGATTCAGATGCCAGTTGCATGTGTCCCACAGCTCTGGTCTCTTGCACCAAACTGCATCACGAAGATGGCAGAGGACGTCTTATTGACTCCTTATTGACAGTTTGGCCTAGTGGTGTGTACTCATGATACACAACACCCTGGTAATCAAAAAGAACAGTCAGTATCACCTTCACATTGCTCTGGACCTGTTGTGCTTTTTTGGGCCTCGGCGATGTTGGATGCTTCCACTGTGACGCCTGGACCTTGGTTTCTGGGTCACATCAATGCACCCATGACTCCAGTGATCATAGTCTTCAGGAACTCAGGATCCCTGTTGGCGCACTCCAGCATGTCCTGCGCGACCTCAAGGTGGAGTTGTTGCTGCTCTGGCGAAAGCAGCTTGGGGCACAAATTTTGCCGCCACTCTTTGCATGCACAAATCCTCAGTTAAAATTGTGTTTGCGGAACCTCTGCTGATCCCAACCTCATCAGCAACTTCCCAGATGGTCAAAAGATGGTCCTCCAGGATGAGTGTCTGCACTTTTTCAATAGCATCAGTATTTCAGCTCCTCGACGGTCTCCCGGAACGCTGGTCACTGTCTGCCGACATACAGCAGTCTTTAAAGTGGTTGAACCACTCTTTAATTTGAGTGGCCCCCATTGCATCATCGCCGAAAGCCTGCTGAATTTTGTGGATTGTTTCCGCTTGGGTATCCTCAAGTTTCTGACCAAACTTAATGCAGTATCGCTGTTCCAAGTGTGCCGTCATCTTGAGCAAAACGAGAATGTGACAAACACGTGTTACACCACTTCACTATCTGGCAGTCACAGACGCATCCAGCGGTGTTGAGAGTTAGCAAGAAGTTTTGGTTTTCTTTTTGCATTGACTATTAGGCAGAAGTAATGAGTGTGTTCTGCTGTTCTAGGCTGTACAAATGTTATGGGTTAACTTGATTATGGACACATTGGCCTCCCTGGCTTTAGCAACAGAATTGCCCACACCTGATCTCTTGCTGAGGAAGCCCTATGGAAGGACAAAACCACTCATCTCCAGAACAATGATGAAAAATATACTGGGACAGGCAATTTATCAGCTTGGTGTTATCTTTGCCTTACTCTTTGTAGGTAAGTTGGTGCTTTTCCATAATTTTAACCATCATATACAGGTACTTCATCTATTTGTCATTAGAAAATTATTCACCTTATTTACAGAATGAATATGAAAGAGGTGAGAAACTTTAATTATGATTGCATTACATGTATTTCCTTAGGTTGCTGAAGGTAGCTGCATGTATAATAATAATTTAGGGCCCAGTAAGTGAAGTAGATGTACTTTTTCCTTTAATTTTCTATTTCTTCCTGGCTTCCTTTGTTTCTTTGTTGGTAAATCCCCCCCCCCATTCCTCCTTCAAAGGGAAAAAAATAATTTCTAAGTATTTTAAGTTACCGTTTGCAAGCAGCCTCCATAGTCTAGGGGTAATGTTCCTATCTCATTACTCAAGGTACGTGGAGCTCTACCTCTGGTCCCTTGTCAGGATGCACTCAGTTAATTAAGTACAGTGATAACTTTGCTGGGGGGCACAAGGTATCATAGTTAGTTGTGACACTATGCTACAAGCCGGAAGGTCGCGGGTTCGAGTCCCGATGAGATGGATTCTTTTTTTCTCAGTTTACCTAATCCTTCCAGCTGAAGTATGGCTCTGGGGTTGTCTCAGCCTCTAACAGAAATGAGCACCAGAAATCTTCCTAGGGGCTAAAGGGCAGCTGGCGCATAAGGCTGACAACCTTATCACCATCTGTGAGCCAATTGTCTAGGAAATATATTGGAGCCTCGATGTCTCAGAACCCTTTGGGTCTTCATGGCCTGCTACAGGATAGCTCTACCTTACAATTTTGCCTTTGCTTTACTTTATCTTACCTTACCTTATCTGTACAGTTACTGGGACAGGACTGTGCTTTCACAAACATCTGTACAGTTACTGGGACAGGACTGTGCTTTCACAAACACATGTGGCTTCAGGTACCCTACCATTTGTACAAAAATAATTTCAGCACTGAAGGAATTCAGAGGTTTATCTAATAACTGAATGATCACCTGGAATAATGTCTGATATTAGCCTAATTGTATTAATGGGCAGTGATTGAGGTTAACTCTTTCTAAGAGACCAAACAGAGTAGGTGTCTCCCCCCTCACCTGAGAACAGTAAGAGAACAGTTTCTGAAGCATTGTGTTCTCTAGTTCTCAGAATACCAGACAATGGACAGAGTCCAAAAACCCAGTAATTCAGAATGCTATACACCATCATCATAACCCTTTAATATGTGTCAAAAGCAGTGCTTGAGGTGGAATGAAAATAGAACCGGGATGCCATCCCGCCCCACCTCAAGCCCTGGGTATTGTACATTGCATTTACTGCCAAAGAAGTAATGGGATGCTTTTAAGCCATTTAGAAAAGAACCGGGATGCCATCCCGCTGCATCCCACCCCACCTCAAGCCCTGGTCAGAAGTATAATATTTTTTCAAGACTGGAGTATCTGTACATGACTTACTGCAGAGTAACATTAGTTGTGGCATTTTTGTGTGTATGTGAAGTCAGTGATTCAGATCTCTTTCACATAAGGGTGAGAAACACAAACACTGCACAATATTATTCATCTCTGAGACTTACTTTCTGCCATCAAAATGGAATTACTTGCACAATTTCTGCATACAAAATATCATCCTTTATCATCTTTCAGTCTTTCATCTCTTCTATCTTCCTGGATCATTTCCTTTTCAATTAATAGCCAGATTTTCCCTCCTTTCTTAATGTCTTCTAGTATTTGGCTAAATCTGCATGTTCTTGGTTGTCTCATAGGTCTCTATCCTTTAAATTTTAATTGTATTTTGCTTGGTGTCCATATTCTATCATTTCTTTGTACATAACCAAACCACTGTAATCTTATTTCTCTTATAACTCTATTAACAAATTTCTAATTCCAGTTCCTCTGAAAAATTTTATATTTATTTTCTGGATTTTTCTTTTGTCTGTTTGTGAGGGTTATGTTTTGGCATTCATTGTTTGTGGTTAGTCACTTCTGATATAAATCTGTGCACTTCTTTAACCACTTTGTCATGAACTTTTGTTCTCAGACTTGTACCAAAGCTTAACATTTTTTAATAAAATCTGCTATTCACACTGATATATAGAAATTTCTGGCTTTTGGTTAGAATCAATAATCCTTATGAATCTGTGTATGAACGGTGCTTGTTCCACATACTTTACAAATGTCCTGCTGAGGTCTCAGAAAATATGCGACCATTACTATAAAGTGTTTCATCTTTTTAGTCCTTAGATTTCTGTGGCTGGATTGTGTGTGCCTTTGAATTTTTGGACTATACAGGTGTCCCAGGAGGAAAGGTCAATATTGTGGGAGGTCATTGTATCAGTAATTCTAAGCAAAATGTTTATATGTATGTGTGTCTTATTCCAAACAGTTTCTGAGATACAACTACAGATTTTATTGCCTGCATAAAGGAATATCAAGATGCACTCAGAGGAGTTACAAAGTGCATTGATGTTGATGGTGGAATTTTTTAAATTGTATTATACTAGGTAAACTGTACCATCTTGTTCACTTGAACAAAAAATACCAGTATTAGAAACAGTATGTAATATCTCTTTCTGATCAGTGATATTGGAACTGTACGTGAAAATAGCTCTGTCTCAGATACCATTCAGAATACGACACTAGTACATATACACTTTTGCTAGAATGACTGATATAATGACCTCCCAGAATATTGACATTTTTTTGTGGGACATCCTATGTAAGAGCTTCCAAACCCCTTTTAAAAGTCATTAACCCAGAAAATAACAACTGCAAGGTTTGCTGAAATTTTCAAAAACTCTCAAACTTCAGTGCAGCCTAATCCCAAAATTCAAAGCCACATATATTTCATGTTACCTATAAAACATGGTACACTTATATAATATCATCAGAAAGCTATCTATAGTCCCCTTTCACTGTACATTGATTGTTAGTGACCTTTTTATGACACCTAAAATGTAGCAAGATATAAGGCATGCCAAAGAGTCAAAAGTAGATACCTTATGTTAGAAATGTAATTTTACTTTCCAGGAGACAAAATGCTGGACATTCCTAGTGGAAGGGGAACTGAATATGGTTCCAAGCCCAGTCAACATTTCACCATTATATTTAACACATTTGTTATGATGACGTTGTTTAATGAAATCAATGCGAGAAAAATTCATGGCCAGCGGAATGTGTTTGAAGGCATTTTTACAAACCCCATATTTTATTCCATTTGGATTTGCACATGTTTAGCACAGGTAAGTGTCTTGGACAACATATTACATAAGTCATTGTCTTCTCCTGCAGATGTGTATGAGTGCATATGTGTGTGTATGTTTGTTTGGGCCTTTTATTTCTTTCAATTATTTAATGTACTCAATATTTCTGGCTGCCCATTCATGCCTTGTGGTACAAACCATCATTGAATGTAGGCAGCAGGATATTTTCATGATGTACAAAATAATTAGGATACTGTATAGTGATTTAGGGAGGGGGGAGGTGGCTATAATAGAACAGTGTTTCTGGAGAGAATGTTAGGATGAAATTATGGAAATCCCGTCTTCCTCCCCCTCCCCCCTTCTTTTTTCTGCTGTAGGAGTATCTCGATCACAAACAGGGAGTGCTCAGTAAATATAGTGGTTGGCTGTGGGCAGGACAACCAGAGTTTGATTTCTTATCTTTACAACACTAGCCAGTCAAGCCATGGGGCCACCCAGCCTTTATCCAGTGAGTATTGGGCTCCTCCAGGGATAAAGCATCTGTAACGTAAAGTTCCATCTTATGTCAAGACTGGGAGTAGATGAATCTTTACCTCCAGTCTACCTATATTTTCATGGCATGTTGTTTAGGCATAGCGATGACCTTATCTTCTTAATATCTTGGCAGATTGTTGCCCAACATGTCTTATGATTGAACATTACCTGAATCTATTGAGTAGTGATTTGCTGTGAACTAACATACCCACACATTGTGAGTGGGAGTATATATCAGTGGAAACCTCCCTACAAGGACCGTAATGTGTCATTTCTCTCAAAAAGTAATATATTCATTCATAACTTTTTTAACATTCCATCATTAAAAAGATGATCATTTTCAGAGTGATACCCCACATCATAAATGTTCCTATATGTTTTTTTGCCTAACACATTTTTAAGGTTTGTTTCTTTAGTAATACAGGAAATAGTTTAGTCCCCCCCCCAGTTACAGCTCTGAAACCTTTTGTTGTTTTTTCCTTTTTGTGATCTCCAAATTAAACTTTGTTCTTAGTCGTTTTTTGAATTGCACCATTCATGAAATAACAAAGTTCCTTTACTTTCTCAACATTTTTTGATCCCTGACAAATTTTATAATTATTTTGCATAATTGTACATTCCAAAAACAAATATTTTGCTCTCCATGGCTTTCCTGTCATGCATGTACTGCACAGAATGTGACAGCTGGTCATTTGGTTATAAACAGTGTTTTTGCTGCTGCCAGCGTTGTGAATTTCAGCAAAACCCCATTTTTGAGGACACTTTTAACTTATCCTTAAATGGCCAGCTGTGGTGCATAAGACATATTTCTCTGACTGTGTTTTACCACTTGCCTGGAGAGCTTTTTGCCTTGGTGTAAATGTACCCTGGGTACTTTTTTTCCAGTCATATAGCTCTAAATACTTAGAGATAAAACAATGTTAAAGTATCCTATTATAGTGTATGTGTATTATGTCATATTGCTGAGATTTTGATCTGTTGAACTCCAGAAAACACCCCCATTTTCATAACTCCTCAGCACCATTTTACAAGAACTCAAAACACAAAACAATCTCATCCTGCTACCTGAGCACATGCAATGGAGAAAAATTGGAAAGATGGCAAGTAAACGTGGTAGGTACGCAGCATTTGCCGGTCGCACAAGTTATGAACATTATTGAGTTGTGGCTTTACCACTGACTTGTGTTGCTACCACCAATTTCTTTCACATAACAGCTGCAAGCAGTATAGACAGTTTTTTATGATCTTCATATTTTATGAGGAATGTCACCCACAGACAGGTATATCATATAATTGTTTCATGTTACAGTTAGCCACAAATTCTTCTGTACCATAGATTTAACACCATGCTTAAATTTCAGAACATGTACATTAACGTGGCTGAACTGGACTTATGCCTCTGAGCTTATCAGCTTGCATTGGCACTACCAGCCATATTTCATAGATATCCACTGGAAGTACACATGGTTGTCACATGATACATCACTTGCCTTGCACTCTTATTTCTGTGTTGTATGTACCCTCATAAAAGAAAAATTTAATAATAAATGAATACCACTGAATTTCTGCAGTTTATGCGCAGCTTACATGCTTAAACATATCTTCAAGTGAAAAAGAGCCTGTTTTCTCTTCATTGTTTCTATTGTATACATGTTGATGGATGAAAGGGCTCCAGTTTCTTTTTTCTTCAGAAGTCTTTCCTTTTCAGTTTGTTCAATAATTTTAACAAATTTTGAATTCTGACTGTCTGTTGGAATATGTAACCTAATCTTTCTCTTTTAGTGGATACGTGTAATGCAGGTTCATGCATTGGAAATGTTGAATTCGGTGAAGATCATTCATGGAACAGGATTTGATTTGAGTATTTTCTTTATTATGTTCAGTAGGGAATATGTGATGATGTGTCATTTCATTCTAATTCTGTAGGTCTTAAAAAGGAAAGCAGAAGCAGAAAATCTATTTTGCTATTTCTCTTTGTAATTAACTTGATCTCCATGCATCTGTTGGAATTAAGCTTGTGAGCAAGAGGTAAGGTGACCAGCTAAAAAATAATAAAAAATTGGGCACACTTTTTTCTGTGATCTTGCTTGGGAGCCATACATTTTCACCTGCTGCTGAAGAAGTTGATTCCCCCTCTTAGGCAGAATTTTGTACTCATTGGATGAACAAATTTCTTGCAGTAATTGAGGCTGGTTACACCACATTTCTGCATGCAATAAAAATGTGTTATACAACAAAGTAATTACTCTGATGAATTGTTAATTGGTGTAATAGCCTTCAAAATCTGATACTAACAATACAGACTTTGAGATCTGAAAATTTTCATCTCTTCTGCTTTTTATTTTGCTTCCTAAGTTATCAAGTTGTTTGGGCACTTCAGTGCCTTAAATACTGAGAGTTTCTAATTTCTTTTTTATACAATATTGTAGCATATATTCAATTAACTGTTTAAGAAATGAAACCAATCAATGGAAATTGGATCATTAAAAAAACAGCAATGTAATGACTGAAACTGCATAGTCACTATTCCATACTGTGGTGTGCATGTGAGACATAACACTTGTTACACCCAAGTACCATTTATGAAATGGCTAGGATAATGTGACTTTCAGAAAACACAGGACTGTTTGGCATCCTGTTTAATCTTTGTTGGGACAACAGGACACCTCAGTCCAAAATGGGATGTCTTGTCACCCTAGTATAAGGGAAATAAAAGTAGATGTGATTGTTGTTTACCTAGAGCATTAATTTTACTTTCTCACATTTGTCAATTCATAGATTGAACACATGTGCCAGTTAATCATGTGATATGAAGGCAGCACTGCAAAAGAGGTCATACTCTTTTCTTGCGTTATTCCCAGTTCACCCTTTCATTCATTCATTTCCTTTATTTTCCATATATCCATACAGGTAAAAAGCCTAGGATGTGGAAATAGTCCCTTTGATAATAGATGTGTCCAGATACATATAATAAATTACATGAGTTACATAATTAAAATCACATACATTAGTCAATTAACATAGATAATAAAATAAAAAATAATTAAAATTATAATTAATAAACATAATTTTAAAAAAACGTTACTATAAAAAAATAAAATTAATACAATTTCATTTAAATTACCTAAATTAACTGAGTTAAATGCATTATAAATTTGCACACTTATGACCAATTATCTTTCCTTCTTTCTTTCTTTCTTTCTTTCTTTATTTCATATTCCCATAAATCCAAATACATTGATACAGGACTTGTCATATCGTAATACTATCAGCAAAAAACATACAGGCAATTCTACAGGTAAACAATACATATAAATCATGCTTATCAAAACGAAAAGCTGCATAAATTCAAGACAGAAGATTACATCAACCACGCAATCAGCAATCAGATTATGAGTTACTTGTAAGAAGCAAGATTTTCCATTCTCCAATCTAGATATTCCCGCAATGAGTAAAAGGAGCCAATATGGAGAAATTTTTTTAAGGCATGTTTAAACTTATCAACATAATTTGTCATCACTAGTATAACTTTCTACTGGTCATGCAGGAATATCCAGAGTGTAAATGTATGGTAGCTTTTAGAAGGTACAGTTCCAGAACAGAGATGAATACAGTGATACTACAACAAATGTGGTGGAGTACTCCCATCGCACAGTTATTGGAATTGTTCACTTGCTGCATGCAGGGTTCAGAGGAGAGAGCAGTACATGTGGTATCCCAAAGTAGAGAAATTGGTTGCCTCCACCTGTACAAGAACATCATGTTTTCCCGGTGACTGTGGCAATATAAATGCTGCAGATACTTAGGGCTGTGTATGGTGAAATAGTGATGTGTTTGTGTGAGGTGTTTGACTTCTCGGGTTCAAGGATGTCCGTAACTATTGGATGATGATTCATGCACTCAGTGGCCTGTAACATCACCATCACCACATTGACATGTGAGGTATGCAGGGAGTATTGGACTGTATCGTCATTGGATGGTGGACTAGTCCTGAATTCTCCATGTGGATGTCGCCATGGTTACTGAACTTCAAGCAAGCTTAGTCAAAAGGAAGATAATATTAGAGGCCTTTTGTGACTGGCAGAACAGTCTGTGCAAGCCTATTTATGAGAATGCTACCATCAGCAAGGTGCTGTACAAGAAGTTGTACCTCCTCAGTGAGAAGCAGTACATCCAAAATGATATGACATACAGGCGATCAAAGACTGGATGCTTCTGTATAAGCGTAATGGTATGGTTGCTATTTGTGCAGTACTTACTTATTAAGCATAATTCTGTGATGTTTCACAACCACCATACTCTTCCCAATCCCATCATGTTATCTTTATCTGTGGATTAAGGATCAGCTGAAGGACAGGAGCTTAAGGGATTCAGTCAGTATTTAAGTAGGTTTGGAGATTCTGTTAAGGAAATTACATATGGTAGCTACTGGAAATATTTTGTTCAATTGCACTAACATTGACAAGCAAAGAGCTGCTGTAAGATTGTATTTTGAAGGCATTTGTGGCTAAAGGTTCTTCATCCTGCCAGATTTTAGGTATGGCACCTGTCCCAAGACTTCTTCAGTCTATATGAGATAGCTTTTCTGCTCTGAAGCTGGAGGCAGCAGATTGCTCATACTAAATCACTGATATCTACCAGACTACTCACTGCTATAAGAACCTAAAATCACCCCTCTACCCTGAAGATTTGGTCACCAGTTTCCTCTGAAATACTGAGATCTATGTACCATACTGTTAGGGTATCAATCCCATAAGACCATAAGCTTAATTCTTTCAAGCTGTCTATCACACAATTTAATAATTCATAACAGTGATTCCTGGAAATTGAATTGGGTACATTGGATTTTACTCAGGAGATGACTTATTGATTAATGCAGAAATGGATTAAATTTTATTGGATTTGGTGTTTTACACCAAGGCTATGAAGATTACTGACTTCTGGAAGGTAATGTCATGTAGTCTGATAGATCACATACAGTTAAGAGGAACATTGATGAATTTCTACCAGAGTACACAGTGAAACATCCCAGAAAACAGTACTCTTCAGATGAAATTTTCATACAAAGAAATCCTAAATAAATGCTGTTACAAAAATGATAAATAGTTCTGTGTATGCTTTCATTGTAAATTATCTTCAGTTAGTATGTCAGTAAGAGATGCCTTTTTAATGCGTTGGTTCAGTTCCACATGTTCCTCCATTTTCCTATTTCCTCTGTTGTACCACATCCATGAATCCACTGACAGATTCTGTTGACATCCCAACAGAAGACAGAACAGGAATTTTGAATATACTGTCATTCAGAATTGTTTGATACACTGTAATTGATCTCATCATATGTAGCCAACCAGTTCAACTCAATTCTAAAATACTTGACATGTATTCTTGAAGTATCATGTGTGGTGTTGGCTGGGAACTGGTTCTCCTGATTGTGCTTTTCAACAACACTACAAGTCAAATTTCAGCATGGAATCTTGAAATGTAGTACTCAGACTGCTGCTTTTCCTATATTATCAAGTTCCCCATGTGCATAGTCATCATCTTGTCTCATTCAGCTCCACGTAACTCCTGCTGGAGTATATACCATATTAAGTATGCACAAAATTGAAAACTTTTCTTAGAAAATAAACCAATGGAAACTTTCATTGTAAAATAATTAAAATTTTATTAAAATATTACATGTTTCAGCAATTTTCATTCACCATTATTAGACCTTTATATTTTAAATGTGTAGAAGAAGCTATATAAGTGCCTTTTATTTTAAATATATGATACATTGTGTAAAACAGAAATAAATACTTGCATGGCAAAGGGGTGCAGGTTGGCTCTAGCTTAGGCTGTCATGTAGTTCCAGTGTCCCTTTTTGAAGCTAAAAATGAAATTGAAGATGGATTTTTAAGCATCTCTGTGTCATATAAATGAATTTTATATTTAACATTTTTATAGGTAGAGTTATTTCATATAATTTTTACTTGTAACAATGTAACGTGTGTATCCATTGCTAGGCAACAGGTCGCTAAATACATTTTCGCTACAACGGATATGCAGTCAACAGTAGAAGAACTGCCGTTTCTATGCAACATCAATATAAACACACCTCTATAACAGTAGAGGAATTGCTAGGGTATGGTGTTCTCAGTGTGTTTTCTGTGCATGGTCTGTGCTAAAGGTTTTTTTGGGACATGAAGGTCGTTTGTAGTCAGTCCTAGAACAAGAAGCAGAATGAAGAGAGGTCTTGGTGGTCAGGATTGATTGTGAGCTGTAGTAATTGATTGTAATTGTGAAGACGTGCCAGTGAATCCAATCATCAAATCCAGACCACATTATTATTCATCACACTGTACACATTTACAATATAAAGGTCTGATGGTGACAAGTTAAGAGTCACCAAAACACGTGAATTTTAATTAATCTTTTAATTATTTTACATTTAAAGCTGTATCTGCTGAAATCTATACTTTTGTATACATCTAATGAAATGTGTTCTGTGTGTTCACATTTTAATCATGGTGTTTTAGCCAACTTATTTTGAAAAAAAAGGAAAGTAAGCTTATGTTATCTACATGCTATCTGTATATCACCCCTATCAAAATTTGAATGACTGAACCAATCTGTATGAATCTTGGTATGTATATCATGGCACCTGAACCCATCTTAACAGCATACTTCATAAATGGCTCCCATCACTGTGTGTATACCCCCTGTCATTGCTAGCCAGTGGTTCGGCAAAAATACCCTTATTGTTGCTAGCCAGTGGTTCGTTAAGAATCCCCTTATTGTTGCTAGACAGTGGTTCAGTAAGAATTTCCCTATTGTTGCTAGCCAGTTGTTCGGTAAGAATCCCCCTGTTGTTGCTGGACACTGGCTCAGTAGAAACATTGTGGCAACGAATACAGGAGCAACAATAGAAGAATTGTTGGGCGTGTTGTTTTCTGTGCAATCCATGTCGTATCAAGGAAAGTAGGAAGTTAGTTGTTCCAAGAACTTCTTAGTTTTTGTTGGTTTCTACATTGAGCCATTTTGATTTCCCTCTCTAAATGAAATTGTATCAGAAACTGAGAATTTACCAATTTATCGATAAAAGATACACCGTTACTCATCAATTCAGAATGTGTCTTTAAGGGTAAAGGCTGACATCTTCCTGTATGCCATTCCAACAAACTTCACATATTTTCTTGCAAGGTAGAGACAGATAACTTTGAATGTGCTGATCCCACAGAAACATCCTGAATCACTCATTGTATTGGAGGCTGGATGAGGCTTAGAGTTGGTCTGGACATGATCGAGAAGAGAAAAGCCTCTTGCCTGTACTGGAAATCAGTCCCTTATTCATCGTTTTTCTAGCCTGTAGCCTAATTGATATACTGACTGAGTTACTGTGGCTCTGAACAGCTCCTTTAATGGGTCAAAATATTTCTGAAATGTTATATATCTCTCAAGAAAGGCTAGCTATTGTCAGACTTGAAGCATTCCTTAAAGGGAAAAGAATAGTATTTAATCTTATTGTAGTTAAATACCCTCCATATTACGAAGCATATGAAATCAACATTAGTATTCTATGACCTGTTCATTTTGAGGTATAATGCACCTTACTTTAGAGATTCAGTATAATTTAAAACGTGTCCCTATTTATTTGAGACCCAACAACAAATTTGTATCATAGTTATGAGCTGAATGTATGAGAGCTCTAGGAAGCCAAGAATAGCTGTATACCATAACAAGTATCTGCTGCAGGGTAGTATGTGTGCCTTGTTAAAAGTATTCTTTTCTTTCAGCCTGCTTCTTCTCTTATCTGTCAAAACTTGAAGACTGTGGGTAACTTACATTTATAATGCCTTGTCTCAAGCTTAATTTTTTTATGAATGTTACAGATATTTATATTGGATGGACTGACATCTGCATATTTTAAGTTGTGTACACTCTTCATACTAAGCAGAAGGAAGTACAAACTTTCTTTTTGTTTGCCTTGTAACCCGAAATCATGTGCAAGTGTATAAATGTGTTTAAACTGATGTGCTTCAAATTCAGGTCCTAATTATTCAATGGGGTAGGATGGCATTCTCAACAGCAACTTTAAGTTTGGAGCAGTGGCTTTGGTGTCTCTTCTTTGGGATTGGAACATTGTTGTGGGGCCAGTTAGTGACCACAGTACCAACTAGAAAGATCCCCAAAATACTTTCGTAAGTAATCATCACTTCAATGTGCACATTATTAGTGAATATGCAAATTATTCTTTATTCCCTGTTCCTTAATGTATTCAATACTTCATGTCCTTCCTGCACCGTTTCGTTTTGTTGATTTACTTAATTTCCATTTACCTTTGATGTAGACATCTTGCCCCCCCCCCATCATGTCATCTTCTGAACCTACAAAGAAGTACTGTTACTGTTGTATTACTTTTGGACTGCTGTAGGAGGTTTCAGTCCTTTGACTGCCTGCACATGAACCCAACATGCCAGCCTGTGAGATAGATTACATGTTATTAATGGATATGCACTTACATTAGTTACATGTCTGTGTATATATATATTGTGAACAACAGAAGAATTGCAGAACTGGAAGTCTATGCTAGATTTCATTTTGTATTTGTTGGAAGGAGGTCATAAATTTGTCCACAATACTTCAGTTGAATGAAGGACAGATTATTACTGGATTTAAGATTATCTGTATGAGAAAAAATGCCAGAAAAATCCGTACCACTGAAACATTCTCTTGAGATCATTCCTGTTTCTTTGAGGGAATGTGAAAGGGAATTAAAAATATTGTGGCATATTGACTCAAAGCAAAATTGTTGAGTCACATCAGCTGGCCATTACTAGGCAGCAGCCAATAAACAGCAGATGAATGTTGTTTTCCCCACAGTCCATGCTGATGGCTGTACACACAGCAATAGAATACATCATGCAGTCACTATTGCACTATAACAATTGCACTGCAACAGAGGAACTGTTTTTTCTACACAGTCTTTGCCAAGCATATTTATAAGAGACATACCCATCCTCTCGTCAGAGAGAATGTTACATAAAGACTATGACTGCAAGGGTTAGCCTCAAGGGGCTTGGCGCCAATACAAACAGATTGGCGGTAAACCACCAGTTATAAAGTAACCCTGACTATGACTGTTGCACTCAGTTACAGGGCTGCTGGGGTTCAGTCATTGTGAGTTGTTGCTGTGAGAAGCTGGTAGTTGAGGCTTGGGACAGTTTAGGAATCCAGAGGAAGAGGAACATGTGCCATCCTCTCGTCAGAGAGAATGTTACATAAAGACTATGACTGCAGGAGTTAGCCTCAAGAGGCTTGGCGCCAATATGAACAGATCAGCGGTAAACGACCAGTTCTAAAGTAACTCTGACTCTGACTGCTGCAGTGAGTTAGAGGACTGCTGGGATTCAGTCATTGGTAGCTGAGGCCAGCAACAGTTCTGGAACCCAGAGGAAGGGGAACGTCCACTGTTGGAAGCTGCTGTAAAGCAATGACAGTGAAGACATGACTGTGGACACTAGTATGTGTGTAATGGTGATCTGTAAGGTGTGGTCATGCTCTATATCAAAGAGTCCAGTAAATCAGTTATCAATCCAAAATCCATCTATAGGCACACTCCATACATGTGACAACTGGTGTCAGAAGTTGGATTGGATTGATCAACTGATTGCATTGGATACTTGTATTGTGGCAGCACAGACAGTGGAACAAATTATATAAAAGTGATGGAATGGCTGCTGGACGAGGTAAAAACCGGCCATGGGGAAATGACAGCAAGGCTGAAAGTCAAAATGGATACCTGGCGAGAAGAAATGAAGGCCTGGCGAGAAGAGACAGTGGCCTGCCAGGAAGTGATGGAGACTTGTCTGGAGAAGTGGTGGGCAATTCCAGAAGAAATTAAGTCCATAGACGATCATCAGGAAGTCCGTGATGAAGAGGCCACAATGGACATGATTGGAGGAAGTGAGAACCAAACCAGGGACCATGCCATTCCCGCACAGCATGAGGACCACAGTCGAACAGGACCAACGGTTGTGAAGAGATGACAGAGGAGCCTAGAATGTAACAATGGGATGAGGGACCGAGACTTAGAGGAGCAGCTGCACCTGAAGAGGGGAAGGGCATTTGCAAGATCTTCAGGAAGACCATAAGGTGGAGATCAAAAAGTGAATAGTCGTGTCTTTGACTGGGCTATAGGAAGTGAGTGGCTGGACGTTGTGGAGCAGTCAGCCTACTCTGAAATGAAAGGTGATACATCGAAAGCATGGCCCTCGGAAAAGAAGAAATGGCAGTACACCTGTAGTCTATTCAAGATCAGTAGCCTTAAGGAGGGAGCAATGTGGCATGTACACCTGTTGCTAGGTAAAAACCGCAAAACATCTATACAACAACCATTGCTAGGTAACAGCAAACAAGTATGTTTCCACAGCAACGTGAGAATACAGCAATAATGAAGGAGACGCTTTGCACACAGTCCATTTCAAGATGTTACAAGCAGGGCCAGTTAGCTGTTACAGTCAGATAATACTGGGGTTCAGTCATTGTGAGCTGTTGCTGTTAGAAGCTGGTAGCTGAGGTCTGGGACAGTTTGGGAACCAAGAGGAAGGGGGACATTCACCATTTGAAGCTGCTACCAAGCAATGTTTACGAGTAGTGAAGAAGTTGAGAGAAGATTTAGTGTGTGCTGTAGTGAATTGAAAAGTGAGTTATAAAAGTTCAGTAAATCTGATTACCTGTACAAAATCTGTCCATAATTGCTAAAATCATGACAATATGAATGTCATAGTATCACATTTAATATTCTCTTTGTCAGCTAACATTTTCATCATTGCCAGTCTTCAAATCTGTTGGGCCTCTTACTTAGATTTCTCTTGGCTGCTTTGTCAGCAACATTCTAGAGTACATACAGAAGGCAAAAAACCACTATGTCACTGAAAAGCTGTCACAGATATGAACTTTTTACAGATTTATATTTTTTAGGTTTATTTGTACTATATATTTCTATGTTACTCACATTGATAAGTTCAAAAGAAAGATTTTAAATACAGCCAGACCTAAAGTAAGGAAAATCACTTGCCCTCCAACATCACACTGAGGAAAATATATCCTTTAGTATGAGAATATATTTATTGAATAGTAGCTTGCAAATTTCTAAGATGATGCTTTGGACATGCTTTGTTGATCATAATGTGACAAATTATGAACATTTCATTTGTAATGATCAAAATACCATATGTAATTTAATTTTATGTTTCTTTTGGAAAATGTGCATTCTTGTTTGGTCTTATGTGTCTTGAATTACAATTATTTTGTACCAACATATTTGAAGAATGCAACTGTTTATTATAAAAAGTAATTTACAATTGTCATGTTTGTCATAGTAATTAGTGCTCATGATTGAATGGTAAATATTGATGATGTGTCACAGGGAGAGATAACCAGTGTGTTAAATTTAGAAATGTGTGACTTTATTTGTCAGATCCTGTTTCAAGAAATTGAAGGTCTTAAATTTAGAAAGTTGGCAGCATGAAATCAGATGAAGAATTTTTTAAAATGCCTTTGTATTAAATTATACAAAGGTGGATTGGAAAGTTGTTTTTAAAAAATCTATTTCTCTCATATCATACACAAAACCAGTATATGAGCCATATAACATACTCAGGACTTTAGTGAACACAGTAGTCAGTTCACCACATAATCACTCTGAACACTGAAACATCCACCAGTACACCAGTTTGTTGATGTTGTCTTGGAAGAACTGTGTGCCCTTTTTGTTTCCTTGATCTCAAAATATGATTTGAATCAGTAGCCTGCAAGACGTTTTTTTAGTGGCCCCATCACTTGTCATCAGATTAGGACAGTGGATGATGCAGAACCTTCAAATCAAACTTTTGTGGGCAGTTTGCAATTCATTAAAGTAATTTTTCAGTCCACATTCTTATATTCCCATACATCTTTGTTTTCTGTAATTTGATATTCATATGTTTGATACATTTTTCAGTACTTATTTGTAGCAGTGGTGTATTTCCCTGTCTAATCTTTACAGTATGACTGTACAAGCATTAAAAAAGGTAAAGCTATCCCTGTAACAGGCCATGAAGGCCCATAAGGTTGTGAGACATCAAGGCTCCCATACTTTCTAGGGAATCAACTCACAAATGGAGGTGAGGTCAGCCTTGCACTCTGGCCACCCTTTAACCCCCAGGAATATGTTATATTTTAGCGTCCTGTTGCACTGATTTAAGTCCATGATTTATTTAAACCGTCTTGCAGTGCATACACTCATTTATCTCCTTCTCTCCCTCGCACTACATGTTTCGGCATAATAATGCCATCTTCAGGTGCTTACTTATCCACGCCAAACTAGTTCATTGCATGCCTTGTTCTCATATTAAAATAACTAAAATATGTATCTATCATATACATTGTCAAACGTTAAAAATATTAAAATTGTTCAGGATACCACATCGCTACGTCGCACCTCACTACACCAGTCACGCCCATTCTCCTCTGTTGGAGCACTCCTTCACTATCTTGTGTGTGTTGTGCTTTAGTTGTGTCTTGCTCCTGTGACTGTGTGTGTTATACTGTTGGGCCTCCTGGGCCTCCCGCAGCCTTACAGGTTGTAGCATAGAGCCTCAGCCAACTCAGCCACATGCCCCATACAAGCATTATAAAATCATATTGTGTGGTGCACAATTCAGAGCTTACATTTAATTATTATACACTGTTAAATGGCCTGCTGATAGCTGTTCACCCCTTGCCTCTCACTCCCCTAGCACCATTCCTAGTTTTAAACATTAGTAATTCGCTTAGTGGGCAGTGGAGTCCAACTGGGTCCACTCGGCACGGTGGCCACTGATGGGCCTATTGTAGCCTGCCCCGGCTGATTATGATGATGGAGAATTTGGTGGAATGAAGATTGGCAGGGGACACCAAAGTACTTGGAGAAAACTTGCCACTTTGTCCACCACAAATCCCACATGACCAGACCCGGGATTGAACCCGGGCTGCCGCGGTGGGAAGCCGTCAACTAACTGCTTGAGCTATGGTGCAGCCATTAAACATTAGTACGTATAAGGGGTGTACCTTCTTGGCCCTTGCACCGCGACCACAGTGATCTATTGTGTCTTTAAACATTAGTAAGTATTGGCACCTATTTTTTTCCCCCAGTCCTTTCCATAATCTCCAATTGTCAGTTTTAACTGTCATATACTTCCAGTATTGATGTTTTGTCATGGGACTATAGCAACCAGTGTAGATTTTCATCTGGATATATACATGGCAAAAACTGTTGAAAAGGTTTAAAATTTATGGAAATACAAAATTTTGTTGTGTCGCATATAATGAGTGAAGATAAGTAAGAAATAGTATTATTATAATGCATTGTAGATAAGCAGTAGGGTATTAAAAGTAGGTCATAGGGCTGAAATGTGTCTAGCATGAAATAGTTATAATATTGTTGTATTTTAGCATCCTGTTGCACTGATTCACATCCATGATGTATATGTATTGATACAGCGCATGCAGCCACAAGAGAAGGACACATCACAAGACGCAGTATACACAAAATATAGGAAGAACGACTCCCATAGTGGAAGATTGATATAATACACGTGTTTGAAATATGACATAAGATGATAAATCTCAACAAAATTTTAATATATAAATTTTATTATAGTACATGATGAATATACATTTTAAACCATTTTATAAACGACACATGATGGTGAGCAGTGCAATAGTTTAACGTAAATAACTCACTTGAGGATGGCACAGTGATGCCGAAACATGTAGTGAAGTGACAAGTGAGATTGTGTGCGCTAGAAGATGGTCAATACATACACATCATGCATAAATGTAATATATACAGAGATTAAAATGCCAGTATCTTATTTTTATTATCTGTCATATTTATTTTAAATGCTTCTAATAATTTTCAATTGTAAGAAATCCTACATTTAAATTAGTGACTGCATTTGTTAAGACAAGAAGTATGTTAAGTACTGTCATTATTCTGGGACTTCTATGTGTGTATGTGTGACAGGTGGGGTCGTGGGCATCCAGAGGAATATACAGAAGCCATTACTCTGGGTGAAGAGAAATTTGATCCTGATTCTCAGGAAGGCAAAAAGCCTCGGGCAGGCCAGATCTTATGGATCCGTGGCCTAACAAGACTTCAGACCCAGGTAAGTGACATTATCCACTCTCCTTTCATTTACTAATGATAAGTTGTTAGCAAATATGCTACATTTCTGTTCTCTATTTTCTGTCCTGTTTTCTGACTGCTATGCTCTTGCTTTGATTAGTGCAATAAAAATCAGGCAAGGTTATAATATTACGAGTAGAGTTGGTTCATTGTGTTTTAACAGAGATACATAACTCACTTGCTTTTCTGAGATGGTGTTCCAAATGTAAACAGGCAAAACTGAAATTCATTTTCTTTAAATTCATGAATTATTATGCCAAGTCTGTACTTACATCCTATGCCTACATTCAGAAAACTTTAATTTTCCCGTGATGTATAAGACATTGGTATTTGAGTGTAATGTTTCTGAACTGACTAGCTTAGCAGGTGAATGCAGTATAACCTAATGAAAGAGGTAACTCTTCTGGATTTTGACTGACATACAAAGCAAGGCATATGAGTTATTTAAATTCCTTGCTTGTCACTGGTTTTGGATTTGCAAATCTTAACCTTTGTTTCTTTCTAAAGATGAAGAAGAGTTAGTTCTACCCAAATATGCTTCTTCTATGCTTTCCAGTGCTTTTGGAGGAATATATGGCGTGGTATTATGCCTCTGTACTCATTCAGGATAAGTTCCTTTCCCATGCGTTACTTTCAACTGCCATTGCAAATATTTCTTAGAGCAGTTAAAAAATTGATGCACATTGCTTAGATGGGATGTGGAGGGCAGAGAACCACAAACTGCAGTGGGAAGCTATGGTTATTTCTAGTGACAGTTATTTTGCTTGGCGGTGAATGATGTGTGCAAAACACTAATTTTCAGTTTAGTGCTGTATTTCTCTGTTATTGTGCACTGACAACTGGATTTAATAACCATTGCTTCTTATTGCTTTCAAGGAGCCATATTCTCTATGTATGTACTTGTTTGGTTTCATTTTCACTCATTTAATCAATGTATGCATTGGGAACACCATTAAAAATGCAAACCTTCCTCAGTTGCATATTGATGAACTGTTGATTCTAGCTCTTCCCAATTCTAGCAACAAGTGACATTTACACATACAGGTAAAATTTCACAACACAGCATTACAAGACACAGTTACACAGTGGAATTCTGTACTTGTGCTTATACCTTGCATTGAACCAATGCCATTATTCATTATGTAATGATTTGAATACTTGAAGTTCATGACATTGATACTGGACTTGAGTTTCTCCTTCAACACATCTTTTAAATGGAGTTACTGTGTTTTAAAACATTAATTTCAAGTTCTTATATTTCACTGGAATTTTAGACATGTCAGTATTTTACCATTAATTGTTTGGTATTTAAAACATATGTGCATTGAATTGTTTAATAAAAATATAACTGAAGTACAAAAAGTTTGAGCCTTGTGTCTGATGTCAGAACTCTCAGATATTTGCATTTCAGATTTGCTGAATTCCCAGTCAACATCCCATATCTTACATGTATACATAATGGTAATGGTCACTTTACTAACAGCTGTTTGTTATTCTTAACCAGAGTCTTGACTTAAGTTGAGCATCCCCCCCAAAAAACGGCGCTATCGAACGAACAGGACTTGGTGGTGGAGGAATGCCAGCCATTGCTTGGGCTCAGTGAAGAGTCCAACCAGTCGCTTGCGCAGTAGCGGTTCTTCTCTAGGCTTTACTCAAGTTGAGTGTTCTGTACCCATGGCCTTGCCTGATTTGTAATATGTCTAACCTATATATATGCTTATAAAATCTTGAAAGGGATGTGGCTTGAATGATTGGGAGGTTCATGGCTACAAATTAAGAAAATGTCACTTTCCTTCATAAGCAACCATTTGATGAATTGAAGAAAGGGTATTTGTGATGTTACAATTCAGGCTGAATGAGTGAAAAATGGCCGGACAGCTGGGCAGGGCGGCGGTTATGCTTAGTTCTTTAACAGGTCAGGTCTGTGCTGTCTTGAATGACACCACACAACAGGACACGCCACAGTACCACACCTTCATGCCTGGCAATTAAAACACAAGGAAATATTGACGTCCAAACAATAATTGCTGTTTTTTTTGTTTTAATTTTTTCTCACGGTTTGCAGAAAACAGTGATATTAATGACAATCCCTTTCAGGTTGTACAGAGTGATACTTATAAGATGGCATTTCCCATACATAACTCTTATTTTCTTAACTTTCAGTTAGATTTTTTAACTGTTGCAGTTTCTTTCAGGTAGCTTTTCATATACAGTTTGTCCTTAACAAGAATAGGTGTTCCATAAAGTGGTGTGGCATTCACGTCACATAATGTTACTTTAAAACAGCAGCTAACAACAACTGTGTGGTGAAGTATTGTACAGTACAGTATCCATGTAGCTGTGAAGTAACATGCATGTGATTGTTTGAATTGATTTGAGAGGGCGATTGATTGATGGTTGTTGATATACTTAATAGCTGACTGTGTAACGACTGAGTGCTTTACTGCATCATAGTATCTGCTAGGCTGACATTCTGATGCATAGACTGGAGCCCAGCTTGATTGATTTATTTCACCAGACGTGGCATGATTGGATTTAATCACTGGTTTGAGCTAGACTCTATTTGATATGACTACTGTACATGAGTGATGATCTTGATGTGACTTGACATGACTGAACTTGGTATTGCTGGACTGGACTCATTCAACACATTTTGCTGATGTGAAATCAGTCAAGATTTTGATTTGAAGGACAGATGAATGGTTGGTTTGATTGATGTGAGCAATATCTGGGGAGTGGGCTTTACTAAGTAGGTTAGTTATAGATAATGAAAAGTTGTATCATGTGTTACATATGATGCACTGTTATGGTATGTATAGTATCATTAGTTCATTATGATAGGCATGCACTGTTTTTATAGTATTTTAATATTCTTATCCAGATGTTTTTTTGCTTTATTTACATCATACACACACATAAAGAACACAGTTACAACATAGTACATGATACACTGCATCCCAGCCACAACCCATGTTCCCTGAAGGTCACAAAATACTACTCATAGTATGCAGTTTGAGTTCTGGTGATAGGGGAGGGGTTTTCTGTTGTGAATTGTTTGGAAATATGTCTGGGATTTTACTTCATGAACTGGAATTGTTGATATTCCAGAGAAAGCAACAGAATGTCCCCAGGTTTCCATTCTGAGCACTTCACACATATTTCCCAGTGCTTTCCCTAGGCTGTGTGCCACTGCATATAGAAAATTGTCCCATGAGTCCCAGAACAAGTAAATGAGCTGTGTCCATAGCCTCTTCACCTGACTTGATCCGTCAGATTAACTGTGGTCAGTATGCTGTTGTCGTTTTCCTGTATATATATATATATCTCTCTCTCGTCAAGGTATTACTCCGGACTGACCGTGTTGATCTTCCTTCCGTGCGTGCTGTCCGGTTTGGTTTGAATCGATATTGCAAGCAACGGATTGATTGGATCGCAAGCAAGCAAAATTGGGGTCTGACGTGAGCCTCTTAACCCAAGTGTTTGTGTGCTGTGCGAGCAGGTGGCCGAGGCAGCCTTTGAATCTCCCGAGGCTGGAGACGGCGTGGCCGTGCTAGTTCTGAGCAATCCGTGTTGCAAGCGAACAACCGAACCCTCGAGGGTTTGGGGGCCCATCTCAGGGCCTATGTCGGGGCCCATCTCAGGGCACCTCACGGCGGGAAGAGAAACTATGGTCTAGGGACGGGAACGTTACAGATGCAGTACAGTCAAGTGAACCGAACAAGTGAGGTAGCTTGTAGAAAATGCTTGCGATTGCTTGCTATCGAATAGCTGCTCTGCTGACGGAAACCAACCGTAGTTGCCAGTCGTGTTGTTGCTGTGTATGGACAGTAGAGACTAGACTCTAGATACAGTATTTCTTTGAGGTTTAGCTTTCATTGCTACCATTAACTATCTGCCCATTAGTTTAGATATCGTACTGTCCGTATGTCACTCACAAACCCCAAGTGTGATGATGTTACCTTTTGTCAACTTAACATGTATTATGCTTTCAGTATTTACCCAGCTTTTTACCGAATGCACATTGTCTTGTCCGTTGCCACTGTTGACCACTTTATGGGACACCTACATCTTGGAAGGGACATTTTGAGTCGACTGAGAATAGCTCACTGCCGCCCACCTGCCCATGCACGGAATCATGTCATTTACGATCATACTGTTGCAGTGTTATTTGTAGTCCTATTGATCCGTGCTTGAAAACGTAGTGAATATAGTTGAAGGGAGTTTGGGTGGGTGTATTGTTTCATGCGTGTGGGTGTGCTTGTTTGTATGTATGTGTGGGTGGTTGTGTGTGTACATGCATGAATGTGTGTTCACACATTTATAGTCTATTTTGTTATGGGTCTGTTTCTTTGGTGTCCAAAATCTAAGTTGTAAACCCTTGCTCTATGGATTGAGCTGTTATTGTAGGGAGGGAATTTTGTTTAGACAACATTTATATATGAATATGATTTACTACCTCTCTTTACTTATACATCCTTCATATTACATTCATAGACAACAGTAATAACCTGACAAATAGGATTGAATTGAGGTTATGTTACTTTTCCAGTCTGCAGCAGTCGTTCTGTTGAAAATGCAGGAGTTGTGCTCAGTTTATTGGGATTGATGAATATTCTCTGCTGCAGACTGGAATGAATTTTTGCTAACATACACTCATTGTCTGTCTCTCTCACTTGTGAGAATACCTGGGGTCCAACCCATAACAGAGTGAAATATCTCCACAGAGCTTCCTCTTCAGACTCTGTCCTCCATTGCACATACGTGATAAACAATGCCACGGTCTCAAATAAGTGGTCTTGTGTTCTGCTTCTTCTCTATTCTGTCCACCTTACTCTGACTCAGTGCAGCGTGATGCATACCAGCTTGTTCCAGAGGGCCCAGCCTGCCTCTTTAACTACACCCTTTTTTGATTCCTATGACAATGTGACTAGAAATTTTGGATTTTTTAATGAACAGGGAAACAAATGATCTCACTGCCAAGATTGGGGAGTTTTTGTTTCTTGTCCTTAAATGGTTGTCTGGGAATGCAAGCAAATTGCTACTGTGATGATTGTAGCTTGGCGAGAGTGTCGAGTCAGGTGTCCACACCAACATTTTGAGGCTTGTATTATTTGCAGTAGACATGTCATTCAAGTGACGCGTTCCAATTGTGACCATTTTCTTTGACAATTTTTATTTTATTTGTAGTAAATGTGGTGTTTAGATGATGTGTTAAGGGTTAGTACATTTTAATTTTATTGTTTTCTCATGTTTTCCCCCTGCTGAATGTGAAATTAACCTGTGATTTTCAAGTATTTATATGTGTTGTAACTGAAGCATAACCTTACCATGGGTCTCAATACTGCTTTGAATGTTTCTGCATGTAAACAAGCTGCTACTGCTGTTGCTTGACTTTACCATGATGTGATATATTTCTGCATACCTTTAGTTTAGGATTTGATTCCACTGCACTTACACGGCTTGGTTTTTATCTGCTTACATCATCATTATCAGGACTTGCAGTACTATACAAAGGCCTTTCCACAGAGCTAGATATTCGTATACCACACCAAAGACTCTTAAAAGATTGTAACTTATTTGTAACTATAAATAAAAGTCTAGCTCTTTCCTTTCCAAATCATGTGAAACTAGCTNCCTTTTTTTTTTTTTTTTTTTTGAGATTTTCAAATTATTGGTATTTGAAAAAATATTCAAAATTGTTATTATTGGTGAATTTATATGAAATTAAATATTGTTTGAATAAATGTTTTAAAAATACCAGAATGGCAATAATGCAACAGCAGTTAACAATAATGGATTGCTTGAAAAAAATTAATTGTTCTTTTGAACTAAAAGCAAAGGCAGATAATTTTGAAGGCAAAATGTTAATTTCTAAGTCATGTTTGTTTTGTTCTTACATGGAGTCATGTAGCCTACAGAGAAATGGAACTTATCACTGCTGAATATAACCTGTTCAAAATTTCTGCTTGCTAGTTTGTATACTCACCTTATGCAATGAAGCAACCTATTTTTCATGCCCTGATGATGTTGGTGATAATGATTGAAATCATTATCATCCTTATATGTATTCTGTTTAGTTTTGCTTGCTTACCGCCTGTTTGTGCATGCATCCTAATATTGCCATAACCCTGACTGGCCTTGCCATGCATCCAAACCTTAGGACATACTCGGAAACGGGAACTGTGGTGTTCATTGATGTTGTAGGGGATTCTGGTTCTGCTTCTCTTCTCAGGTCTTGTGGGTTGACCTGCACATGAAATATACACAAAGTAAATTTGTTTCTTTGCTTGTGTGGTAGTACTAGTTTCTGTTCGTTTTTCTAGCTATATTGGAATTCTTTTCATTTTATATTTATATTGTATTTCATTTTATAAGGCATCTCTATTTCATAAAACTACTAGCTTGCTTTTGTACATATTTTTTATTTACTAATACTTAATTTATGATAAATGAAATTTTACATGTTGAATGATGTAACATCAATGAACAGCATCAGTGGTAACTGAGTATAGACAGTCTGTCATTGCTGTATTGCTTTAACCAATTTCTTGGCAAACTACTAAAGATCCTTCCTTAATATCTGAAGTTTTGGTGCCTTGTTGATACTGGTCCAAGTCACAGCAGCAGTTGCAAGGATCCTAGCTTGATATTGTGCCAGGACATTAGTTTTGCCAGAAAGGAAGGAAAGAAGGCAAAAATTGAAAGAAGCAAGGAAGGATTGAAGGAAGGAAGGAAGGAAAGAAGGGAGGATGATAATGAATGGCAGACATATTTGTGTATGCGTTAGAGCCCTCCCACCCTCATGACTGTCCTTCCCTGTGTTTGCAGCTGCGAGTAATCAGGGCTTTCAAGTCAACACTGGAAGATCTGGAGGAACGCCGCTCTGTACATAGTTTACACAGCTTACACAGTTTGCGCAGCTCGCGCAGCCACACGGGCCCACGCCCCCTGTCTGACATCAGTTACATTGACGAGGACCCTGTCAAAACGCCTTCGCCTCTGAACGACCGTGACAAAACCAATAATTCCTCGATGCTTCCGAAGATGGTATCTCCTGCTGAGGATCCCCACCTGGTGCCAACAGCAACGATGGGGAAGGACGTCACTGCTGGCAGGGGAAACACACAGAGTACTGATCCTCCACCTCTGACATCTGGTGGTTTGGGTTCCGGTCTCTTGGCACCGCCCCATGCTCCCGCCCCTCACCGCTCCGCGCCGCAGCACTCGCTACACCTCCCTGCTAAGAACAACCACCCACAGCGAATATCTCCCTATCAGCCACTGAGCCCCGCCCATCTGCAGAATCTATCACCACAAACGTTGAACTCTTCAGGCGGTCCCACCCCAGCCCCCTCTGGGGTTCCGGACTTGCCCAAGCTGGTGCACGAGACTAGCATCTAGTTTCGTTCATTTTCAGAAATGTAGGTGCTCAGTCGGATACAATATTTTATCATTTCATTTCCTTATCATTGTTACATTGTGGTCTCTAACCCTGCACCTGCATCCACTGCTACAGTCCCTTCATGTTGCTTGTAGATCCCCCACAATTGACCATATAGTGGCAGGCTGATCAGGTTTGTGGTGATGTGATGATGCTGGTTCCCTCACTTGTAAGGGGAGAGTGTAACACATGGCACCGCATGTTTGTAGAATAGCTGCTTGCCTTGTGGCTTGCCCGCCCACCCAACTCTCATGGTCAAAATTTTAGAGGAAAGGAAATAAGTAAGAGATATAAGACATGTTGTGGACAGAAGAGACTGCTGGGCCATGGAGAAAAATGGAAGGGAATTAAGGGGCGAAACCAGAATGCTGGCTTGTGGGGGTCTTGGGGGATGGGATGGGTGTGCCGCAACAAGACCGACTGACCGACCGTCCTCTTACTGCCCTCCCCATGTTCTCTTCACTTAGATGAGTGTTGTATTGTGAATGGATGTCATCTGTGAGAGCTTGCCAATCTTTTCCTTTACTACCTTGCATCTCATAGTGTCCAACAGTACATATATATATATATGTTTATATATATATATATGTGTGTGTGTAGTATCTGTAACTTACACATACATTTCTTCCTTCCACCTTTCACACTGATACCATACCATTTGTGTCTGTACATATGACTTTTTTTTGTTCTCACTTTTTCTCTGTAGCTACAAACAGTGTTTATTGAAGAAAAAGATCACTTGTTTCATCATCTTTGTTTTAATGCCTCTTTTTCAATTCCAGCTACTAAATTGTGTACAGTCAGTTCTAGGGATTAAGCATTGAGTTGTCATCTATGCTCTCCCGTGCTCGGTCAGTATGCTCAAAGGAATAAAGAGTCGGGTCGAGCAGGAGGTGGCACACGATGCAATGAGATGCAGTCATTTCACTGCTTGGCATGGGTTCTCTCTTGTTGAAGGTATTAGCACACTGTTTCCATCCTACCTCGCTCGACAGTTTGCTGTAGACTTACATCTATCGAGCACCTGACCCAACCTGACACCATTCTTATGCAACCCCATTTTTCGGTTCAAAACACTTGCTGCTGTTTTATGACCAATTTTACCCTTTACTCTTGAAGGTGATAGGTGGTGAGTTGCAAGAACGTTTGATTCCGGTCCCCTACAGCAAGAGCTCCACTGACCAAGCTGTAAGCCGCTTTCCTACTTTCTTTCTTGTCCGCTCGATCAGTCGCTCGTATTACTTTAGAGACCTAGTGGAGCCCACATGATGACAGGTTAAATCCACCCCACTAGCAAAGACTTTGTCTGAGATTCTATATATGTTTTTTTCTTTCTTTCTCTCTATATTTCTCATTCTCTTTTACATGCAACAGTCCCATGTCCCCCAGCAACTCATAGTTGGCAGCAGGCAAGAAGTGTCCCATCCCACAACTGAGCATGATATGCCATCTTGGCAGCTGTGTGCACCCTGCACTGAATGGATGGCTGCCCTCTCTTTTTGAACCTGTATCCAGTTTAAAAGTCTGTTGGTTGGAAATTGATTGGTTGATTGGTCATTTGATTTTTGTGTTGGTTATCCTGTGGGCTTCACCAGAGATCTGTACCACTGAGTGGTGAAATGCTTTTCATGTCATGTTTTGTGTATGTCTAGCCCTGTAGATTGTCAGCATATAGTCAGTAGTGATATGAAATTCTGTTCTTTCTGTTACTACTAGTCTGTGTTTTCCACTCCATTTTGTAGTATTTGTAACCATTTTTAAATAGGACACTTTGAAAAACCAGGTAGGTGGTTACTTTTAGTGCATGGTTTCTGATGGTCAGCATATGCACCACTTATGTCAATATCTTGCTACCACTTCCACTGTTCTTGCTGATGCTTGCTTTGCAGTCATAACATTCTACTAGCAATTTTCCCCACTTGTGCACTCCCCTACTTGATTCTTATATCTCGTTATTCCTTCCTCCAGACTTACCCCATCCTCTCTCACCCCTTGCCACCTCTGTCCTGCTCCTAATCAGCAATGTTGCAGGTACTCCCATCCCATGCTGCATGTGGAAATTAAACAAGCGATTGAGTGCCTCTTGAAGGTACACTGGTGCTCTCATTAAAACGGTCAGTCTCACATGACTCAAGAATAACTGCATGGTTTTTGAACAACCCAGAAGGAGTTCTACTGTCGCAAGCGAGAGTGTGAAATTCTTGCCGGGCAGACCAAGGTGCGTGTTTCAACGAAGTTTCCATCTTGTGGCAAGCACTCACATCATGCTGTTTGTTGAACATAAAAGTTTTCGTTTTTATATGATCTGCAAAGAGAGGCGTGCAGTGCTGCTTTTACCCATTGTTGCTTCATTATATTTGCAGATTTTCAATCATTTTTGATTTACAACAGATGTTTTAATTTTTTAAAGCTTAAACTCAAGTGGTGATTTGGTTGACCTGAGGGCCAGGCTTATGAACCCTCTGCTTCATTTTTGGGGGTGGATTCTTGCCTTTGAATGTACAAATATATATATTTTTTTAAAGAAGTGGCCACTTTTTAAGGCTTCAAGTTGCAAAAAGGATTGGCTTGCAGTGTGCAACACATGGGTGTGTTTTTTATGGGCGGCAAGGCAACACATCTGTCTATTGCGATTGGTGTTTTGTGGCATGAGTCAAACAGTTGAATCTGTTCAAGTGTTGGCATGGTGACAAACTTTTCATTTCCATTTCTTGGCTCGATCTATATTCGAGCAGCGTATGGATGTGCTTGATCAACGTTTCTGGCAAATTTCTAATAATGTAGCCAGGAGTTAAAATGAGTTACTCCTAATTGCACGCTGTCATGTTGTTTTACCCCCAGTTTGGTGGTGGTTGTTTCGGTTTGATATTTGATAATTATGTGCCACTTACAAGTATAAGAGAAGGTTAAAATTGGTATACAGGTGATCATGTGGCCAAGTCCATTGCATTCATTTTGTTCACTTTTGCATTTATTGTCTCTTTTGTTATATATTTTCTGTCAAGAAACTAAAGAAAATATTTTGTTCTCTGTACCATTTGCTTGTTGTCATTCACTGCCAGTACTACACAGCTGCCTGCCATAATAGTTGATACGTTTACAAAACCGCCAGCTGGCGTGACCACCCAACAGATATTGTAGTCATAGAATAATTAGTGTAGTGATTAGTGACCATAGCTCCAGTATGTGAGTGACTCATGGTAACCACCTAGTGAGTAATGGAGAAAGACTGGTGTCTTACATGTTCATCCAAAGAGTGGACTGAACAGCACTTGCCTAAAAGTTGTAAATAATGATTTTTGTTCTTGTATTTTAATCTTATAGAAATTAACAGTACATGTGCATGTGCAGTTGTGCTCTAGTATTACACACATTCTTTCTAGTGGGAATTTAAGTATCATATACTAATTAAAAAGTTTTAAAGAAAAATTTTCATAATTTGTTGCCCATTGACACACATATCACCTAAAGAAATATACTCAGTTTTCATGGCATGTGGAAAAATATTTTTTAATTACACTGGTTTATAATATTATCATAGTAATAATAGTGGTAGTAGTAGTAGTAGTAGTAGTAGTAGTAGTAGTAGTAGTAGTAGGTAGTAGTAGTAGCAGTAGCAGTAGCAGTAGTAATGTTCTACTTACATGAGAGTGGTGGTTCACATCGTCAAGAGCTGTATGAACTTGTAAGGGAACTTACTAAGTGCTAGTAAGAGAATGTAGGATATTTACATTCTGGAAACAGATGAATTACTGGGGGTTCTAATGAGAGTAATGTACAGTGAACCTGATTTCCAGGGGCTTGTTGTTTGTATTAATAAATGACTTGAAATAGTTCATATAATTGTGAACAGTTGTGTGAAGTTTCAGTGAAATTCTGATACAGATGCCAGAAAAGAAAGATTAGGTATGTAATATGGTATCCTGGAGATATTCAGGGGACCAAGTTGTTGATAATTTGAAGGTGGATTGTCTCAAGTACTTAATAATTGAGTGGTCAAAACCTTGAACTTCATTGGCAGCTGTTAAACCAAATTCTATTCAGGCAGGGCCCAGATATTTAAGCAAACTGTTTATGCAAGGTTGAGACACTGTAACTTGGCTTCAGACAGTTTTCATTTTGATGCATTTGCATAACATAGGTCATTTGTCATAAAAACATAATTAAAAAAAATGGTTATATTACATATTCTTATGCATGCTCAATAAATATCATAGTACAAATAATATTTTACATTGTTACTTTTCAGTTTTTGTAAATTAATGGAGTAGCAGCAACTGATAGTATTAGTATTAGTAGTAGTAGTAGTAGTAGTAGTAGTAGTGATGGTGAAGGTGGTGGTGGTGGTGGTAGTAGTAGTAGTAGTAAGTTTCCTGCATGCATCATTTCTAATAAGTATTTGTAAACTTGCAGCTGTAGTTCAGGTGTAAAGATTATAAAGAAGCTTATGGTTCTTCATACCATAAAGAGGCAGTAGAAAACCTAAGAATTGGTATTGGAAAGAAATGAAGAATTTAATTAGTAGTTTTAATGGGCAGTTTTCTGAGTTAATGACATCTGTTGTTTTATATGACAAATAATTTTATTTATCTGTGGTAACAATATTTGACTTAGCAAGACAAGTATATATATGAAGAAAGCAGTCTTCTGGGATGTGGCGCTGTGTAGATATTGTGTTGACCGACGTTTTGGAGTAACGTATCGCCTCCATCTTCAGGGTAGAAGAAGAAAGAGAAGAAACTCTACGAACATGTGCTCGCATGGTAATGTCTAGTTGAACTGTATAAGAGCAGGAAGAAAGGGGGTTATATATGGAGGACTTCGAGGAGAGGGCACTTGACTTGGCCCCACACAAGCCCCGCTGCTGGTTTCGCTACGTGTACGACACCTTCGTCATCTGGCCACATGGGCCCAACAAGCTTAAGGACTTCCTGAACCACCTAATTAGTATCTGCCAGTACATTCGGTTCACAATGGAAAATGAAATTGAGGGCCACCTCCCCTTCCTGGATATAGATATTTACAGGAGACCCGACGGTTCTCTGAGCCATAGAGTGTACCGCAAATCCACCCATACAAACTGCTACCTCATTGCTGTGTCCCACCACCACCCTTCCAACAAGCAAGCTGTATTTTCCGCATTGGTGCACAGGGCTAGAGCTCTATCCAATCACAAGAGCCTACATGCGGAGTCGGTGCTCCTGGGTGATATTTTCAGGCAGAATGGTCACAACACCCAGCAGATTTACAGAGTTCTCAGTTGTCATCCGAGCATCAGTTGGCCCGACAATGAACCATTCTCAGTTGCCTTCCTGCCTTATGTCGGGACTATATTCAACCAAATCAGCAGAGTGCTGTCCTGGCACATCAGATCAGTGGGCCTCCCTCCAACGAAAGTATCCAGTTTCCTCCGGCCGGTCAAAGAGAGCCTGGGACTGAGGACACCGGGTGTATACAGAATCCCCTGCAAGTGCGGCAAGGTCTATATTGGGCAGACGGGCTGTTCCATAGACACAAGGTTGAAGGACCATCAGTGGCACATCCGTCTCGAAGATCCGGATAAGTCAGCTGTGGCTGGACACAGCATCAATATGGGACACCACATTCAGTTTCAGAATACTTCCATCCTCGCCACCAAGATCCGATATATGGGCCGCTTCATTAGGGAGACCATTGAGATTGAACTCCATCCCGACAGTATGAACAGAGAGGGGTGGTTTTGTCTCAGCAAGTCATGGAAGCCTCTCATCTCTTCCCTCAAGAATCCTCCCGGACATGACGCCAGGTCTACAAGGCCACGCAGGTCCATTCCTGATTCACATGGCAGCCCCTAAACTTCGTTCATGCTCTCCTATTAACCTTGTCTTTCTCACCCCGACACAATTTCTATACCTGCTCGGGCCTGCTACCTGCTGGCCCACCTCCCCAGACCCTTCCCATCTCCTCTCTACTGATATCCCATGTAGTCCCTCTCCCCCCTTCTCTTCCTGCTCTTATACAGTTTGACTCAACATTACTCTGTGAGCACTGCTCGCTCTGGTTCCTCGCTCGCACAATTTCTTCTCTTTTTTCATCTACCCTTAAGATGGAGGCGATATGTTCCTCTGAAACTTCGGTCAACACAATATCTACACAGCACCACATCCCAGAAGACTGCATTCTTCATAGTCACCACCGTGAAAACCTCAAATCTTACAAGTATACAGTGTATTTTATTTAATATTTATGTTCCTCTGCATAACTGTCTGTTCTTTATTCATAAGTTTATGAAATTTTTTTTCTTTTCCCACTTAAAAATGTTTTAATCCCCTAGTTTGTAATGGACTGTTTGCTTCAATTAAGGCAGGGAGATGATGGAGCTTCTCTGGCAGCTGAATTTATTTGATAAGATACTGCTTCAGGTGCACAACTGATGATTTATGTTACAGCATGTTTATTCTGATGTTCAGTTAATAAAATTTACCACTTGCAGCTTTTAATATAGAATGTGCTTACACTGATATAGGACATATTGTTTGTACAAATCTGGGCTGGAAGTTAGTATTCTTAGTGACAGTCCTATTTGTCACAATAGCATTGACAGTGACTGTAAGTAAAATTTGTGGAGTGCCATGAAGGGGTTGTCATTCAGTTGGATGGAAGAGAAACTTAAGAATGGCACACAGATACTTGTCAAATTGAAATATTCAAACAACAGATAGCACTGCAGACTGGAAACAAACTGCAATTCTCCCAAACTTTTGGGCTCAGTGAAATCAGCCTTAGATGATTTGTGATATCTTGGCCAAATTTTACATTAGGACTGAATAAAAGCTATAGCTTGGAAGTCGTTGGCATATACTGAAAAATTGTATGAAGTTATGTTTGACTGTACATATGGTGCATACATACATACAAGAATGTAATAAATGATTCTTGCAGCTACTTTCATTTGCTAGGGGTTTTAGAATATTTGACACTGTACATACTAAACTACTGGATAATGTGAGAATTTTGTAAATTGATAATAGTCTTCTTGGCATCATCACTTTTAAACTTCAAAATGCTACTTGGACAGAACTACTACATGTAAAGTATGATTATCCCTGAAATATTGTGTTATGCTATTCAGAACTGCAGTACAAAATATTCTCTGGTGGCATCTACTTTTAGTTTATTGAATCAAAATGTAATATCTCTGCATCGCATCACTTCAATTGAATTGTATATTGGCCAGTGAAGATCTTCCTAGTTAATTCTTTACAATAATATGTGTAAGTCATATATTTTTATGTATGAAAATGTAAATACATGTGTATATTGTTTGACTGAGGTTTTATGTTGTAAGTATAATGCTAACCATACAATTAATTCAGGACTGATATATTTATTTTTGATTCTGATTAACTTCTTTTGGGCTCAGATATTTAACTGTGTATGATCACTATGTCATCAAGGATCTGTCTTACACAGTAAAAAGAAATCAGATTCCTTCATTATTTTAATCTGAGTTGTTCAGACTACTTTGTTAGCTAGTGAATTACTTGGATATCTGCTTCACCTAGATGCTTCTCCATCCAGGTAAATGAATACAGCATATCTGATAGCAGCTAAAATGTGAATACTTGATCTTCAATTTACTCATGCTGTGATTTATCATAATATGTACTTAGCAGGATTTGTGGTATGATTTGTCAGTAGATTGTTCAAATGGTATATCCTCCTTAATTTGCATACAAATTGTGCAACAGAACACTGAACTTGAAGAACCATAATAAAAATGGATGCTGATACCTGTATCAAGACAGTTTCAATATTTTAAATTATTTGTCTTCATAATTAAACCATCATGCATGCATGTATGTTGAGAAAGTCCCTCTACTCTTTTGAACCATGGTATATCATACCTTGTTAAGCAGCCTTATAGAGGGAACAACCTGTGTAAATATATCAAAATTTTTGACTGGCATATGTATACTAGAAGTACATGGAAAATAGAGTATAATAACTGTCTGCTAATGATGTAGTGCTCTGTGTGATGATCTGATTATGATGCAGTCTTGTTTCTGTAATAGATGAATGGTTAGAAGTTGTTATCCAGATAGAACTCAAGCCCAATTGAACCACCGGGTGGAATATCTCACTGGTTGTCAGTTTTCATGGGTCTTTAGTGTCTTCTAATGGTGTGCTGTATAAATATGAGGGAGAGTCAGTAAGTAGGTCACAAATGGATATAAAACGTAAATCATGTGATATGCAAACCCGGAAAAAACATTTATTTCTCGACATATCCTCCACCGACATTGATATACTTGTCCCATTGCCTTATAAGTGTATCGAAACCCGCAGCAAAGAAGTCTTCTGCCTATTGTTTTAGCCACTTCCACACCTCCATTTCAACCTCTTTGACATCAGTGAAACATTTGCCACCAAGGTGTGTTTCTTAAGGGGGCCAGACAGGTGAAGTCACTAGGGGCCAAGTCCAGGCTGTAAGGCAGATGTTCAAGAAGTTTCCACTGTAGTTCTTGAATTCCCTCCTGAGTTGCCCAGGCTTTAAGGGATCTGGCATTGTCATGATGAAGCAGTACCCTCTTGCCAATGGGCCTGGACCTTTTCTATGAATTACATATCTAAGCTTCAACAGAACTTCACAGTATGATGCAGAATTCACCTTTTTACCATGCTTCTGAAAATGGCCTAACAGCGATCCCTGAGAACCCGAAAACATGGTAAGCTTAACCTTCTCAATTGATGGTATAACCTTAAATTTCAGGCTCTTTGGTTGAAGGTGAACTGGACTGTTTCCATTAAATTGAAGTATGCTTTGATTCGGTTTAGTAGTGATGCACCTGTGATCCCCCCCCCACTAACAATTCTGTTAAGCATCTCATCTCCGTCTACAGACCATAAGAGATGTTGCAAGGACAAACCAGTTTGGTTCACTTTTTTTCAATCCTTCAGTTCTCTGGATACCTACCACGTGCGCACTTTCCAAAACTTCAAACAATTATGCATTATGCTGTATGCTAAACCATGGGAATACCCTGGTGCTGTTGCTACACTGTCTATCGTTATCCTCCTGTCAGCTCGAATGAACTCTTCCACCTGTTGCACAGTTGCTTCCGTCACAATCTGAACAGGGCTACTTGTGACTCTCACACATAATTTCTCTACCCAGTTGTGAACCACTTCCTTACATAAATAGGGAATTTTTTTTATGAATATCATTTGCAGTGAGCCCTTTTGTATACAAAACTCACAACAGAACGCTGCTCTTCATTAGCATATGTCTCACACACAACTGCCATTTTGACTACTGAATCCACCCTCTGAACATTCACATGCTGATCTGCCACCTGGACTGTCATGAAGCTGGACTCTGCTGCTACCTAATTACACACATGGAAAACCTCTTACACCCATTGCAGCTGTTTCCCATTTATGACCTATTTACTGAATCTCCCTTGTATAAGGCCCAGTATGTGGAAAAAGCGAAATGTAATCCACATGAGGTCATTTGGACGATAATGAAAAATGTCAACATTTGATCACTGATTGTGGAAACACCATTTTATTGTTATTTCAAAATTGTTGCTGAATTTTAAGAAGACATAATGGATTTTATTTTGCATTTTGTATGAAGTTTGCCAAGACATAAGCTTTCGAATGTGAAATAGTCTGGTACAGTCATAATTTAATATATCATAACTATGAAGTAGATACATTGACCAAGTGGAGTGGTGTGCAATTGCTAGTTGCAAACTGAGTGGAATAGTGTCATAACAATCGTGGCTAGTGAAGGATACATATATACACCATGGTTCAATTTAAAATGGACACATCTGTGCAATTCTGGTGTTAGTAATGAAAGTTAACTGTAATTGATGGCTGCACAGTGCGTAGCAAGTGAGAAAGATAAGGCAGCCATTCATAATCTCATGCAACATTAATAGAAGTATTATATTTCAGCATCCTGTTGCACTGATTAATCTTTAGCAGTAGTACACGGTGCATTGTATTGCAATAATATGTTAACATAGTCCATAATTCTTTTCATGTTTCTCCATGTTCACAATAAAACTGACATTGCTACAAATATATACTTACTAAGGAAGTTTATAAGTGGAAATTTGCTAAATAAAGATAAAGAGGTAATGGTAATGGGCTCAAAATATAGATACCATTTTTCAGACCATATTATTAGCTAATATGAATTTTATACTTACATCTGTTGATATTTGAATAGCATAAAATGTGTTTCTTTCCTCGGTTAATATGAATTCAAAGGTATTGTTGGTGTTGTCTTATTTTGATTTTCAGTCGTCTGAATTTTAAAATTTGACAATATCGCTATATTTTTGTGTTTTAATCACGAGAGATATAAAAAGGATATGGTGCTGCAGCAACAAAAGAACCAGCTTGCCGAAACTGTTGTTGAAGGTTTGCTGTACCTACAGACATAGAGAGTAATCAAAGGAAGTATATTTTGTCTTTGAATGTGGCCAGACTGATTATGTTTCAACTGATATCATTAGGTCTTTCACAGATTTAATTATATATATATGTCCAAAAGCAAAATAAGCTTCATGAATATGTTACACAGTGAGTCAGATGAGGCAGACTGTCTTTAAAATCTTAATTTAATGCATAATTATGCTGTATATTGTAAAATTATTTTTTACAGTTGTCCATCTACATGTTAGTTGCAATGCTTCTTACAACTTCACTTGCAGATACTGGTGAGCCATCTTCAATGCCAGTGCCATGGCCAACCAAGCTGAAAAGCATCTGCAAGTAAATGTAAAAAGTGCTGTGAAAAAAGTATGGATGGACAATTGCAAGAAATAAGAATTGACTTGAACTCATTACAGCAAAAAGGCAAAGTAGTTAACAGTTTTTTTTTATTTACTTCTTCAAAGGAACATAGTGATATCTAACTGCATTTTCCATTTGTGCATGTGATGTGACAGATGCCATTGTTATTTTAAAAGTTAATCATGTATATGACAACCTTTGGTGCATTATAAGGTTGGATGTATATGAACTGAGTGAGAACTGACTGGATATTCTTACAGTGCCTTCACTATCATCATGAAGCTGTAAGCAACCAGTGCTCTGATGTTGGTCTTGG